AGTATTTCATTTTTTTAATATTGTTTTCAAACGAAATTCAAGCACCATGGGCTCTCCATATAATTTAGTTATTAAAAATAAAATACAATTGAGATAAAGGTTATATTTATCATTTTTATCGAAACGATTAGTGTGGGATATTTTATATTATAATTATATTCGTTAAATCTCCATCGAGTACTAAATCAGTGGTCGTTAGTCATACCACCCTCAACCGTAAACATACACGATGAATATTATAAATAATTTATTTGTAACAAAATCAATTGCTTATTATTATATGAGTCAGCAAAAAATATATTACTTTTTTGATGTTTGCACAGTACATTTAACTCAAGATAATACGATAAATATTACGTATTTAATCCAAATACGTTTTCGTAAGCATGCCATTTATAAACTATTATAGGTAGACGAATATTCAATATTTTTAAGGGTTGAGTGCATACAATAAGTATAAAAATAGACGAGTACGTTACAATTTAATGATAACTTTATAAAATGTAAATATTTATTTATACTTGGTAGTTGGTTTCTATGTTATAATTGGTTCTCCGAAAAAAATGTGAAAAATAATTTTGAAACTTAAGTCATTCAAATTTAATAGTAACGAAGAATAAGTTAATCATATGCTGGAAAAGAAAAATCTAGAACCACCTTTGTTTTTTTAATATAAAAGTTATATAATATAATATTTAATTTTTTTTTCCTTAACAAAATATGATTCTTATACTTAGGCTCATAATAATATGATGGAATATATGCATGTTGTAATTGAAAGTTACACTATTACAATTATACTTTAAGTTATATAAATTAAAAACCTATCATGAAGTATTTATTTTTTGATATACAACAATTAATATAATTATAATATGTATACCTATGCGAATTACGAAAAATGTGTACGCGATGAACAAGACTTATGCCAGAACTATGCAATAATATTACTAAGACTCGTAACATTGTTGTAAAAATATGTTATATTATTTAAAGACGATGTCCACGGGCATTATATAGCAAATTATCTATAAGTTATAATCATTATACAATAGCTGAGTATAACATCTTACAAATGTTCGAGCAATTGAATATTTGTTTTGTTGAATTAGAAAGGAGGTGGTCATAATTAATAGCAATCGATTACTGTTTAATAATTGCAAAGTTTTACCATAGTATTTTATCTATTGGGCCGATGAGGTTGATCTAAATAACTGTTGGTATGGATTAATTATGAGCCGTGTGATTTATTTTTTCAAGCAGCATAATATATTATATATTTCCTGTCAGTGATGGATTGACTTTGAAAGAGTCTCCAGAATCTTGTATATGGATATAGGCACTTTTTATTATTTAAATGATGTATTAGTACTAGAGTATATTTAAAATATATAAATGTCTGCAAATGGCTGTTTGATGTTAGAAAATGTTGTTACTTGTTACACAAGATATCTTGATGAATAAATGTTTTCTTCAGTAGATATAAAATAGGTGGTATGCGTATTATTGAAATTTTCAAAGTGAAAGAAAAATTCAAGCTTCGAGAAGTGTCCATTGTCAACTTTCAATTTAAAGTTGTAAGCAATTAATCTTACTAAAATATTAAATTATAATTTACCTAGTATCTGGACCTATATATTTCCAATAACTTATTAGTTAAAACTTCAAAATAACTATTGAAAATGTATTGCATATTTGCATCTTTAATATAATCTAGTCACTATATTCTAGTGAATTAACCATTTAATCTAGGTTTATAAAAAGCTTGAGAGGAGTATGTATATCATATTGAATAAAAAGCTTGTTGAAGCTAGACTGCGAAACGTTAAAAAATATTATAATCACCTAATTGCTAATAAAAAATGAAAGTCTGAGGGTAAATATCCCACAGAATTCATTCTCAAGTTAAATTTTAAACATAATTATATCGTTTGTGTATAAACTGTTGTGAAGAAAGAAGAAACAAACGAGGAACAATTATTTATGGAAATTGATTGAGTGAAAAAAAATATCTGAAAAATGAAAAAAAGTAATTTAAATAGTAATGGGTAAATATATTAAATTAAATTAATAGTAAGATATAAAATTTAGTAAATTAAGAAAATTAAAAGAGATTCAAAAATATAAAAGAACATTATATTTGAAACACCTCTCTAATCATTTGTAGAAGCAGCAAAACAAGATAATACAGATTAAATTTAAAAGTTGACAGTACCTACAGGTATTTATGGAAAACACCACAAACAAATTTGACTACATTTAGACTTAAAAGTTATACCTTAATTAGGTGTTCCAAATGATAAATAAAAAAAACCTGTGGAATTTTCGGTGTGAATTAATTTGAGAGAAGAGTCTGAAAATATACTATTTATTTACAAAACCCCCAGCTCTGCTATAAAGAGTTAATAATATAAGCAATACAAACTTAGAAAAAAAAAGTTTTATTTTGGGTAGACCACCACCGCCACTTCCGAAAATGATTTGTAATCTTTTTTTTAATTATGAAAAAGTGGTAAAAAAAATACCCCAACGATACTGCAGTAATATTGCGACGTGTTTCGTCGAACGTAATACAATTTTCCTGAGTGAAGTATATATTTTATTAGTTTTATTCACGTAAATAAAATGTTAAATGCTTTATTTTTTTCTCTATTTCTCTCGTACGAATCTTAGCTTAAGCAATTCGTGTAATCGTATATAAAAGAATAAAAGTATAACACTCTTAAATGAATGGCACTTTAATTACAAATGTTAATAACTGCACATAGCCGGATGGGATATTGTTCGGGCTGGTGTTACATATTATAATAAGTGATTTTATATTAAGCCTGAAAGAAGATTTGAAACAAAATTGTAAAAAAAAAAAAACAACTCTGAGAAAACCACACATTTTAAATTTTTTCCACTTGCTACATTTGTCGTTTGTTGTATTTCCGCCTAGGCAAACTACAGAAAAAAAAATGAAGAAATTACCTGTTTTAAGTACTAACTATACTCAATCTCCAATCTATAGATAGAACTACTTGAAACTTTTGGAGCACTGCTAATCGAAAAATGTTCACAAGAAAAAAGATTATAAAACTAATACATTTCATTTTACAAAATATTGAATATTTTGTATTCGTACAGTAAATTGCTTGAATACATTTTATTTATTTGTATATCAAGTACCTACCTATGTAAAATATTATTTAAAAAGTAAAAATATTTTATTTTATTTCGTATTACTATAGTTGATTTATTTTAATATTAATATTTATATTAATATTAATTAATAAAAATAAATATTATTATTTAAGTTCTAAAATATATGCCGTTTTTACATTATTAGTTCCAATTGTATAAATATAATATTCTTTGGTGTTAGTTTATTATAATATAGTGTTAGAGGTGCAGATTATTTCAGATACAACCTTTTTAAATTCACCCCAACCCTTCTTTCAAATTAAAATATTATACATCTGCACAAACCTATGACCAAAATAACCTGATTAAAGTTGTTTGTTCTAATAAACTATAAACTCAACACTAACCTCATTCACCGTGTAGGCAGATGTACAAACCTATAAAATATAATATTATCAATTATGATAACACAATGTATTAGGGTATTTTTAAATAAATAGTGGTTTATTAATACGTTAACTGACTACCTATTTAACATCTCACACGTTTCAGTTACCAGGTCTTCGATTAAATACTATTTATTAAAGGATAAGTATTGGAAAAAAAAAATACATAGTTGTAGACGATATTGAGCTAAACGTAACCACAAGAAACAAATAAATATATAATATAATGTACATGATTTTTTCGTGTATTTTAGAAATTGCAGTATGATACCATAATAATATTAATAATCATAATCATTATACGTAATAATGAATTTTATGGGGGTTGCAAACATGATTATACCACGGGTGACCGACCACGGCATAGGGAGAATTATAATGATATGTGAAGTATATATTATTAAAATGTTTTTTTCTTATAAACTGTCTCTTGCGACTTCAACACGCCACGGGCTACCACTCACTCAGTAATATTAATACTAAAATCGTTTGGGGGAAAAAAAATGTTGTACCCATCCCAAAACATATTATCTATGTTAAAAACAACTGTCACGCGGATCTGATTCAGTGTGTGTGGGAAACAGAAATAAAAATAAAAGTTTGTCCGACGAGACAAAAAAAAAAAAAAAATTATAATTATAAATTTGCTGGTATTATAGAGGGAATTACAAAGGATATGCAGGGGGTTCGTTTGAGTTCCAACTACATGTTGTTCGTGTGACCAAGGGAAGCCACGTAAAACATATTTTATAGGAACCATAAAATAAATTTGAAATACATTTTTTTTAATTAATGTATCATACACATATTTTCACACTAAATCTAAAAACTAAAAATATTTTATAAGCATAGTTATTTGAAATCGGACGAATAATTTTGAATAACCATAAACACATTATATCATATAATATAGTATCTAATACTTGGGCACTGTACACTAAGTTCGTGATGATGAGAGGGTGGTGGTATAGTGGAGTGAAGTTATCGTCATGAAGCCATCGGGACTCAGGATGTGGAGGGGGGAGGTGGAATATAATCACATGATATTATATTTCTTAGCACTGTGTAGGATTGCTACGGAATTACGAAAGTGTTACAGTTGTTTAGTATTTATTTTTATAAAAATATGTACTTAAGAAATTGATACATATTTTTTAGTAATAAAAAAAATTACAACTATTTATTCATTATAATAATATATTACACCATGATGAACACACTTAAATGATATGAATGAGCAAGTAAGGCATGTGGTTGTTGCTTGAAATTTAATTTTGAACTTCGATAGAGGAAGGTCCGACGTAATAAAACACGCATTTCCGGACATGGAATACGATTGCATCTGCCACATAATATAATATTGATCAAGTGAACTGCAAATACACAGCAACATTAATATTATGTAAACGAGATTAAATACTCACATTATTAGCTTTGTTCATTATCTCTGCCACGTCTTTTCAATCGGTTCGCCACATAGGGGGTGAATAGATCCGGATTATGGTCACGTTTTTTTCCACGGAATATTGCGCTCCCTATCATTGCCACTACAAATGTCACCAAAAATCCCAACACAACGTAGTACAGGTAACTGATTCGATACAAATATACATAGCCGTCTTCGTGAAGTACTCTTAAGAAATAAAACTAAGAATTACATTTTGTATAATTTAATTAGGTATAGTACCTACAATATATAACAGTGTTTAATATCCGAAGTTAATTTGGTCTAAAGGGCAGAGAGTGATTAAATTGTTTCCACCCAACTCTTGTTGAGGAGGAATCTCTCCTCTCTAAATATGCACCAATAATTTATTTATTTTTTACAGTATTCTTTATTTTATATTTTGTTTAATTCAAATTTAACAATAATTTTGTTATATTGAAAATATAATATATGATACATTGAACATTTTTTAAAAGGAAAAAATGGTCTAACTCTCAATGCCCCTCCAAATCACGTTTAAAATACGTTTATGATAGAAAAAGGAATCTATAATATGTAATTTGTATAGTTATCGTTTTTATTTAAGTATATAGTATATTAGTAAATACCTATGGAATTTTAATTCAAAAACCAAAAGGGGTGTTTCTTGATAAAACTTGAAGTTTAGAGTACAACTATAGTTTTTAACTTTTATATACAACTATAGTCAATAATACTGAAAATAAAATGGTGGATTGTCATTACCCTTTATAATATGATGATGGAAGCTGGGTAGAACTTGCAGAGGTATTAAATATTGTACACGAATTTGTGTACGACGGTAGATTTTCAACTGGAGGTTTAGGCCCACCAAATCCAATGATAAACGAAAAAGTCAGGCCAAATATTAAGCCGGTCAGTGCACCCTGGAAATTTAAGATTTTATAATTAATAGTCATAAAATAAAAATAACAAAAAATATTAATAACATCCTTAGTGTGAGATGACTATTTATTAAGCAGTAAAAATTTAGGCAATTTCTTGTTGAACTCCAGTCGTACAATAAATCCTACGATAGTAAAATAAAACCATTCTAACAACCAAAAACGAATATACAGGAATAACGATCACGCCTAGTGGAATAGTCGGATTTTGATATTTATTTTGGATTTGAAAGAGGAAAACTTAAATCAGATCGAATTGAACTTAGATTTTTCAATTCATTTCAAATAACGTCAGAAAAATATATTTTAAAATATACTCAACAATTTGGGATATTATTATATAGACACGATTATTCAGACTTTTCAAAATATAATTTTTAAAGTCTGAGTTCAATAAGACTTGAATATGATTATATTATTCTACTAAATAAAAATTATCGAAATTTGAATATTTCACGAGGCTAGAGAGTTTTTCCTGTGAGCAAAGTTTTTTTTTACGAAAAACCCATCGGCTCCAACCCCGTTAAAATTAAAATATTTAAACCGGCGATAACCATAATATTATAAAATATTATAAATTGTAATCAATTACTTTTTGGTTGATGTAGGGTAAGAGTATACCCAATGTAAACACGGCCAACACGGGTCCGCCGATTACTCCGAATATGGTCAACGCAGTTTGAAGCACAGCGCCCATATATTTCGCCAGAAACGATAATATAATGCAAACACTACCGTACACGAGGACTAAAATTTTCATGAGATAAACTCGTTTTTTATCCGATATTTCTTGTTTTTTAAATGGCTGCAATACAAAACATAACATCGTTTTAAGTCCAAACCGTATATTATTATATCGGACGTTAAAATTTGTTTGAAATTTAACAGGCAACCTTAATGTAATCTTCCATCGTAATTGCTGCCAATGAATTGAGGATTGGCGATACGGAGCTCATTGCCGATGAAAATATTCCGGCTATGAATAATCCGGTTAAGCCAGGTATAGATCCCATAGTGTCCAGCACGTACAACGGCATCAATTGATCACTGCTCGATATACGACCAGACCTTTGTAAAGACAATTTATTACAGTTGTTGAATTTGTCATATTATATATTATTTGTGTGTGTAATCCGGTACATATGGTTTTAATAAAATAATAATTTGTGTTTCACACCTAACTTGTGTACGGTACACGAATGTAGTCGAAAGTGTTGAAATATAAAATAAAATACAACTTTTTTCGGAACGCGTATAATAGCAAAATATACGTAATTAATAATGTCAAAGATTGATCAATAATCATGAAATAAAAATTCACGATTAATGATTATTAATATTATACTATTGTACATCACCGATTGATTGTCATCGGTCTCACGTAATAAGTTTGTAATCTTATTACCAGGTAAGAGCGATGTTAATTTGGTATGCATCATTAATTATTGTTGATGTCTATAGGTACTGATAACAAAGCCTATAAGTACTTAACGGTAAAATTACTGTCGTTTGTTTCGTTTCATTATTAAGTTTGTCCATTACGTTAACTTAAAACACATTACTCAGTACACGATATGATCGATGTTCATGAAATGGAATGTTTTTGATTAATATGTGAACTATTAATGGCGATTTCGTGATGTGGATACAATACATAATATATTGGTAAAATGCATTCATTGCTCCCCTAAGAATATAATACATATAATGATAGATATAATATTATATTATGTAGAATGAATAGATATTCTATTAATATATTTTAGTAATACAAATTTAAATATTTAATAATTACTTTATAGGATCGCAGTTGTAATATTTTGAAAACATCGCTAGACCAGACAAACTTGTTATTAGTGATATTACCATCACTAGTGGTAAGCTGCACCACAGTGCGGTAATGGCAGTCTTATAGTCTTTCATGGTTAAAAACCTCTGTATTTGTGTTTGGTTTACAGCGTACAAAGAAATTTGAGTGAAACACCCTCCGATTAGTATACTAAACCAACTGTGCCTTACTGTCGGATCGATACTGAAACTGAAATTGATAAATATAAGTATATTATTATTACATTAAACATACTCAAAGTTAGTAATCGTTTTCAAGTGGTACTGAGGGCAGGTAATGAACTATTAAAAATCAGACTGGTGAAATTGGAACTCAAACTCGGTTTATTGCAGAACAATGAAAATTATGTATATTATTATTATATATTACTACATTATTTATTAATTAACTAGTTGACTAGGTCATTTTTGAAATAGTGTTAGTATTTTAAAAATGTAAAAAAATGTTCAAGATAACTACTTTTTGTTTTTAAAAGTTTGATTTGGCTGTAGGTTTCGTTGAAATAAAAAAAAAATTCAATTCGACATCATAAATCATAGATTGTATAATATCAATGGTGAAACTATAAGACTTAAATATTAATATTGATTACCTACTTCTAAAAATATACTATCAATAACTACATAAATTAAATACATTTTTACTTACTTTCCAAAATTAATACGACCATATCTGTTGGAAATTTCCAAAATTTCAGACAGGCCACCGGTTTCATACCAAGCTACCCCAACAACCGCAATCACCGATGCGTACATGAGAAGGGCCTTGAATAATAGATAAAATAAAACGTTCAGTTATTAATTATTTGCGTATCTATAACTATATAATGTAAATATGGTTTTGTAATAATTACGAAATACGAATATTATGTATAATTAATATAATGACAAGTAACAACCGTACACAAAATATAATCGTGACATTTACTTGTAATAAATCCGTTACGATCACTGCTTTTATTCCACCCATCGTAGAATAGAACACACACACCAACCCCACAAGTACAATGGAAGCCGACTGAGGTAATCCGGTCACAGCTTCTAAAGTCAGTGCTGGGACGTACAATACGATCGCCATGTAAAATATCATTTGAATACTGAACGCTAATGACGTAGTCACTCGTGTTAAACGTCCAAATCGCACTTCCAAGTACTGTGAACAGTGTAACGTCACATAATTATTATATTTTAACATAATATTATTTTAACGTCCTTGGTTTACTACTACCTCGTACAGAGACAGGTTGCCGAGTTTGAAGAAAACCGGCAGATATAAGTAACCAATGATGGGAGTGGCGATTACATAGGATATGATTATGACAGAAAACTGGGTACCACGAGTATACACTTCCGAGCTCAAACCGAACATCGAGATCGCCGTTACGAAACTGGCCATCAGAGAAAATGCCACCGGTAAAACACTCTGGTTCTTATCGCCCAACATGTATTCCTGTGAACATATTAATATACTATGATTATTATATTATTATACTAGGGTGATTCGTCCGAGCATGCCCATTCCCTTTTTTCTCCAATAGTGTAGTTGTTCGAAATGCGAGTTTTACAATTTTTTTTAGTATACTTTACTTCATATTTTAAAATTCTTGAGATTTTTTATACTATACTACTTAAAGAGTACCCTGCGTGGCTATACAAACGTCCGTTTTTCAAATGAAGACCCCCCCCCCTTTTTTCATAAGGCTTCAACTTCTGAGGTCATTAGCCTGTAATAATTATAAACTATTGATCTTACAACTATGGAGGAAAATTTTGTTTTACATTAAAGGGAGTATGTGACATATAGGTATTAAGTACAGGTATTTTTTACATTAATTTTGCTAAGCCTATGTTTGTGAAAAAGTGGTACATATTTTTGGAGTTCTCTTCGCCGAGTTCTAGTTGCATCGTTGATGGGTTTCCGAGAATTTGTCTGGAGCTGTTGAACATGGGGAATTCTAGTATGATGTGTTTGATCGCCAGTTATTTATCACAGAGCTCACAGGTCGGCGGTCTTCTTTGGTTAGAAGGTGCAGGTATGTTACACGGGAGTGTCCAATTTAAAAATGCCAAAAATTAAAATTCGAATAAATAAATTATTGAAGGAAATAAGGTGAGCACTGAACATGCTTAGTAAATCACTCGGTATAGTAGGTAACAAAAAATTAAAAACAAAATCATTACAGTTTTAAATGGTTTTTGTTTTCATAGATTTTAAAAAGAAATATGTATTATATACATTTCTGTAATTTGACATAATAATATATTATTGTTAATATTTAGGTAATAAACAAAATTATTCATTTTCCATTTCGACGTGAATGATTTAAAATCACATAACTCATATTATTCTCAAAATGCATAAACAACTGAAATGTTGAAAGATTAAAATAATCACGTCTTGTTAATGAAGAATGATGCCAAATCTAAAAGATATATTAAAATAAATTTCATTCTGAAAGTTTCAATACAAATAAAAAATATTTGATTAATTTAATTTAAGTTTTAATAGTTATTTGTCGACATACATATTTTATTAATACAGTTAGAATTTTTTAACATTGAAATTTCATTATTTTGAGTTATTAACTTTTTTGTAAATTTAAAATTTAAATGTTTTAAAAATGTAAACATACACACAATAAATTATTTTATATTCTTGATATTTTAAATGACAGCTTGAGTTTTTAATTTAATAATCGTATGCAGATTAATTTTTTATAAAATTGATTTTGTTTTCTTCTTGTTATTCAAGTGTCATCCTTTAGACACTTATATTTTTCACCAAAAAATGTACATTACTATTTTCTAGACATAATAATATCTAATTTTGGATCTTATTGAAATTCATATAGACATTTGAAATTGTCAAGTTCTTTTGAGTTTTTTTTTTTTTTATATAAGGTGTATCAAGAGTCAAGACTATTTAATAAATTGCCATTACAAACGTTACTTTATTTGTCAAATAGTTACCCTGCATAACGCATATTACATTTTTATTTATAAATAGAAAAGTTCGAATACTGTAGGATTATTATATATAAAAGGAACTGGTTTAACGTAGAAACGACTTTCCAGTTATGTTGGATCTCCATCGATGGAGGTTCTCGTGTAGTTTGCTAAAGTAGTTCACTCACAAAAAAAAAACAGGAAAGACAAAGATAATATTTCGGATAAATAAAAAGTATGGAAAGAAGAAAGGGTTTAAACTATAGAGAGAAACAGGAAAGCCAACACAAGAACATTCCTCAAAACAGTGAATGAGCTTAAGAGGGGTTTTAGAACCAGGCCGACAATAATACAAATGCAGAATGAGAAATTGTTATACTCTAATATATATTTTATATAGGTATTCACTTTTCAATCAACTTAATAGAAACTTAATAGTGGAATAATATAATGCGTTTACACAAAGTATTGGACAAAGAATTAAACAAAGAAACAAGATTGCAACTTGAAAGAAAGGGAACTAGACTTGGTATGCACAATTTTTTTTATAAAAGTTTGAAGTTAAATTGTTGAATAAAAAATGTCAAAATAGTGAATATTTGCAAACTATCCTGTAGTTAAAAATGTATACAATTTGAATAGCAGAGCCTTGAAAACTTAGTTATATGTATCTTATATGATAGTAACTGTTTCTGAAACCTAAAAATCTAAGAAAATGTATAATACATGCAACTTTTTTTGTAGATACTTATAATTTAAATTTTGTTACAATTGAACACAAAAAATAATGCTATTAGTTATTTTGTTGTAATTCAAAAATACTTTATTCGGTGTTTACTTGAAACTTTTATGTATATTATTATATTTAACTATACACGATGATGATTTCAAATTATTCATATTAGTTTTATACTATTTCCTATATTTTACTATTTTAGGTATACTACGTTCCTATTCTCATCGATAAGTCGGTACCATTTTCTGAATTGACTTGACTCAAAACTCAATGTAAATAATAACACATGGTAGCCTTATAATAATAATTAATATAATAAATGCGATGTTTTTGGCAAAAATCAATTTAATTTACTGTATTTACTAAATATATATTTAGTAATATAATTGTATAACAAATTATACTATTTAGTAATAATATACAGGTCGACGTATTGTCTTCAATCTGACGAGTTTTTGTAAGGAATGATTAATCATTGAATCCACATTTAACTATCCCATTTCACATCGACCTACCCAATGACGATATACACTCAACACCAACAAGTATACACTATACAGCAGAGTAATTTCCCTTGTATTTATTTTTATTTTTTTTTTTTATGATTTGGTCGAGTTTGGAGTTGACGTGTTTCACGTTTTCCCGATGTGCACTAAAATTCCACCTTTCCAGTCACGTCCATACTGGACCTCATTTCTGTAGGGACGGGCAAGGATCAAAAACCAATTAAAACGTATACGTCGGTTTCGGTGTGGAGTAGTTAAAATAAAACGAAAAAGGAAAGTACACACTCTACGAAAAAAAAAAAAAATGAAAACCTCCGACGAAGCCCAACACGTGTCGTGGTGGACGAAAATAATAATAATTATTATTACCTGTGTAGTCTTTTGTTTGCCACCGGTAAATCGGTAGTACACACCGATCGAGGCGGACATGATCAACATTATTCCGAACACGACGTAGTCGGCAACACCCAACGCCATGGCGGTCGAGAAGAACACGGTTACTGTAGCTGTTTACTTGCACCGAGACGAATTACAATAATATTATCACGTTACCTACCGACTGAAACCCACATGGAAATAATTTGAATTGCCGCACAGCAGCGTTTCGTTTGATAGTGTCGTTTTGCACGGTGGGGCGTATTAAATTAACATGTTATTATCCGATAATAATTATATTCACTATCCCGCGGTGTATACTTTACGAGCCGAGTCGGGTTCCGTCAGATTCGTGTCGAGAATCGATCGGTTTTTTTTTTTTTACTACGTACGATTAAACGGATTATATATAATAGAAATCGTTAGTGAGTGTTTTTTTTTTTTTTATTTCGATTGATTTGAAATAGTTTGTTTATGGGCGATCAGCGTCCATATACTGGGTCGCGTTTTAAATGAACGGTTCTGTAAGAAAAAAAGATAACGTATTTAATACACTTTAAAAAAAAAATAGAAATATATATGTACTAAATCAATAGTATTATCATTTTACGTTTAATTCTCAAATACAGACTATATTATAATTATATTATGATAAATATCAAAACTAAAATAATCACAATAAAATGTGCAGTAACTTCTATCCACGGCTACCGAGTGATTTTTATTTTTTAAATGAAGGATTTGTTAAAAAAAATACATTATTAAATATGTGAAAACAAAAGTGTACAAAGAGCTTAGCGGTGAACATTCTAACTGTAAAGTAATTGTATTAATGATCTTTAATCAATATTAGTAGGAGTAGTTAAATTATTACCGAGCAAAGATGAGTCATCCTGTACGTTATTCGTGTCTGTATGGTTTTATGGAATGTATAGCTACATATACTGAAACAAATAATTATTAATGCAATATAATAAAGATAAGGCAAATGGACTTTTATATTTCTGTCAAATATACTACAGATTAAAAACGATTTACGATACAGGGCATAAATCGTATAAAAAAATTTAATTGCCAGATTAGTCGGTTAATTGCATATGAACTAATATATTATACTAAAATAATAGTATCATTGTTTAAGTATAATAGCTGGCATATATAATTTGATACAACTAAAACAATGTTTATTTTATATAATAGATGATAGTAATAATATGAGCATAATATAATAAATAATGTATAGTTTTAAAACTGTGATACCGAGTAAAAATAACATTATGTGAAAATCAAAAATCCAAGATAAACGCAAGATGTAATATTAGGTATCACAAACCTCACAAATCGTCAAATAAATACAAAACAACAATTGAAATCAGAAATGGTGAACGATTATTAAAAATATAATCGTCGAGATTGAAAAAATAGATACAAACCTATACGAACGTTAGGCACCAAGTTGGAGTAGAAGTCGTTGGAATTTCGCTATAGCTGCATAGCTGAATAATAATAATGTTATTATATTTAATGTAATTACTATGGACAACTTAATAATATCATGGAAAATGACGTACTCCAGAGATTGTATAAAATATGTATTGACATTAATAATGAATAATGATCGTAGTGTTAAATAATATATAGGCGGCAGTGGACATTTAAACACACTGAGCGATGAAATGATACGAATCGATGAAATGGCGACGTTCCTTGTGTATAATAGTTATTGAATAATCCAAGTGGAAACACATAATATTTATCTTTAGTTAGTTGAAAAGAGTGATCGAAGTTGATACTTTTATACAAACTGGTTGAAATCATGTTAGAAGTCCCATAGAAATGATGCGGTGACCGTGAAGCTTTCACAATATTTGAAAATCATAT